TATCACTAACGCAGCGGAAATGGTACATTGCCTTCCCTTCTCCTCTGGTTTTCCAGAAACTTCCGATTGAAGAATTATCGGATGTCGGATTCATGTGGTATAGTGTTTTCTTGAGAAAAAGGGCGAGGAAGCGGAGTCCATGTTCTGTCGGAGGGAAGTGTAGCCTATATGGTGAGAATAGAGGAACTATCTATCGACTCTACAACTCTTATTGGATATTGTCCTGAAATGTAGGGAGTCGAGGTTAACTAGTAAAAAAAGCAGAGGGGGAAAAAAGGAGAGTCCCTCGCTGCTACAGCACGATCCAGTGCGCACGTATTGCGGTGAAGCTCATCCTAGTGCTTCCACGGCGGAGCACTTGCACAGACAAGGGCCACGGGGCGGTAACGGGCTTTTTGAGACAGCCGACCTGCGCCACTCACAGCTTACCACTAAGGTCCGATAAATGGCAGATGAAGATGGCCAATCCAAAAGCAGGACGTTAGAGTAAGGGATCGACTCAACATTACCGCAATACTTGTGAGTACAGAGGCAAGGTCCGCGATCAAGTAAAAAAGTTGGAAACATGACATCAGGAGGGTAGTGTGGTCTAGGGCGAGCAACATTGCACCGGTTTGTGAGGGAGGGGCGCTATAATGCAATATAGGTTCAGTGACGCCTTTTTTCCAGTGACTCCGCCTCCAGACTCCGCCTTCAAAGCCTCCTTTCAGTGAAAAACGAAGCTGCGAAACGAAAAAGCGTGAAAATCATCCTTTGTACGGCATAGAGTTTTTATCGGTGAGGGAAAGCCTGAGACCAACCACCCAGTGGATCCTCCCGACTACCCCGCACATATGTACCTGGGTGGGTAGTAACCTGGAAGAACTCTAGGGAAGCGGAAACCAGTACGGCTCCACGAGAAGGACCTAGAGGACGAAAGCTCTGGGAAAGTAGCTCACAAAGACCCTCAAATGCGTCGTAATGGAGGGAATCGAAATGCCACTGCTTTGCAAACTGCAACACATTCTAGGGCACAGCTGGAAGTCGAGGGCGCAATGCATTTTTCAAGGGAGGAACTTGTTCTGCAAAAATTACCTTTCGAGCTAATTGTGCGAAAATTTCGCTGCGTAACTCCACAAAAGATGATGCTACGGTCATTACCCTACGAACGAGAGGGTATGCGAAGGAACGAGAACTGGAACGCAACTAGGGTAGCCTTTTCCATGTATTGCTCTGGCCCAGCATGGCATTAACTGACAGAAACGATCATCCTCTCCATTACAGCCCACTCCCCTCCACCCAACCCTTTCAATTGCAGTGATAATGACCGCACTTATGTATAAACTGACATAGGTCCACGTTCCGCGACCACGTTATGAAAATCAAATCTCCCATCAGGGTAAGACCCCCCCCCCCCATATAAAGCAATGTGAGAGGGGCAGGAAGCTGTAGAGCAACCTTGTTCAGATCAGTCCGCTTGTGCTGCTAGCCTTTCATCCGTTTGCTATTTTGCATGCTCCCTCGCTGTTTTTGTTCGGTGTTTCGCACCAAACCAATCAGTCTTCACCTCACCTCAGAGTCAGGAGCACCTCCTTTGAGCTTTTTGGAAGATTCCTCAGCCTTTTGTCATGAGCAGGTCAAATAGACATAAACGGTACGGGCCTTGCAGCACCTTATTGCGAATTCTTTTTCCGAACACTGCATTTCTCGTTTTTGAAGCTGTTTTGTTATGATAACTGCTGTTTAACGCCGCAGTACGCGTTCCGAATGTTATCACAAGAATGCTGAGTTGTGGGCAAAAGTCGTGCCCCAGGCGGGAGTCGAACCCGCACCTCACGCTTTCCGGGCGAGTGCGCTATCCGTTACGCCACCAGGGCCGCTTTTACCCTCTCAGCTTAACGGCTTTTATGCCGTAGCCTTACAGCACTCACACGTTTAACTTGGTGAGCCGGTCAGCCGTAATCGTTAGATATCGGCATGGAACCGCAAGGCCGAAGGCTTTACAAGTTTTTGAAGCTGTTTTGTTATGATAACTGCTGTTTAACGCCGCAGTACGCGTTCCGAATGTTATCACAAGAATGCTGAGTTGTGGATAGCGCACTCGCCCGGAAAGCGTGAGGTGCGGGTTCGACTCCCGCCTGGGGCACGACTTTTGCCCACAACTCAGCATTCTTGTGAAACTGCATTTCTCATCTAATAACTGACCGTGGATAAGTGTATTTATACTTGGTTCCATCCCCTCCCGTGCCTCCTACCCAGGACTCGTTCTGCGTGCTGTACATCCAGAAAAGGTCCATCCATGGATCGTCACCATCCAATGGGCGTACCGTCAACTCAAAACTGTCATTGGGCTGAAACATCAGGATCGATCTGTAGTCGACAGAATCTTTGATCGAAAGATTGCCTGAAATTAAGAAAAAATCGTAAGGAGACCATTTATTGGGGTGAGAAAAAAGCACTCACGGCCCGATTTTCATGATAATAACAAGTCTCGCCTCGATTCTCGATCTCGTCGCCTTTGCTGCCATTAGATGGGTAGCACCCTATTTAGATTTGGTCGTTCTTTTGGTCGTTCTGCGTTCAAAAACTGTCACTTACTGACGCTCTCTCTTATGCTCAACTCGAAATAAAGAAT